GTAAAAATATAAAATCCACGCACAAATCTTTAAAGGAAATAAAACATATTAAATTTAGAAGAAAAATAATTAAAATTAATCGAAAGTTTAAGCTTGAAATATCAAATTGATTCACAGAAAATTAATGGCTAAAATTTAATGGTCAATTTACAAATTTAAACCTAAATGAACATAAATAAATATAAAATATTTCTAAATGTGATTTCTCCGCTGTAATTATTTGAAATGTTTGCCACTGCTCAAAAATCAACTCAAATTCGTAATACCCCGACTACGAGTACGACACAGGCAGAGGGCATCCAGCGAAGGGAACGAAAACTTTTAATTGCGCATACGACAGGTGTGACACGGGCAACGCAATGCTCAAGTTGTGTCTGTGTCTGTGTTAGTGTGTGTGTGTGTGTGTGGTAAAAGTTTTTCCAACGGTTCTATGCCAATTAGTGGGTCACACAGCCAGCGGGAGGAAGGGAGGAAGGGAGTGAGGGCAGGTAACATTTGCAATTGACAGGAGGAGTCGACTCTTGACAAAACGTTTCTTTTACTAATTATAAGCAGAGTTTTTTTTGCACAATCTGTGGAGGGGTGGGCCACCCTGCAACGGTGCGGGGTGTAGCGGTGCGGCGTTCCTTTTGTGGTTTGTGTGGTGTCTCGGTTGTCAGTTGTAAAAATTGAATTCTTGCCTCTGCGCCGCTTTTGCCTGGTTTGTTGCATGGCTTTTGAAAGATTTATGTGGTGGTAGGGGATGGGGTTGCGGGCACGGAAGGGTCACAATGCCAATGGCCGCGTATCGATAAGCACAATGGAGGGACACTGGACCACACTCTGTTCCACTTTCCCCACTTTCCCCACTGTAACTGTCAAACACACACAGACACAGACACAGACGACGGCGGCAAACTTTTTAATCAAATTTTTTAACGCAATTTCTTTGACTACTTTTTTCGATCTCTCCCTCACTCTCCCTGTCTGTATCGCTGCGTATGCATGCTCAATTGTGTTTGTATTGGCAAAGGACATGCTTTGTGATTTATACACACATCACACACACACGCACACACAGCCAGAAGGCCAGAGAAAGAAAGAGAGAGAGCGAGTCGGGGTGTAAGCAAACAAGAGCTTTTTTTGATTTATGAGCGCTTTGGGTGCCGCCGCCGCCATCGTCAATGACACACGACACACAAAAAAACAAAATATACAAAAATCAAACGAGAAAAGAAACGACGAGAGATGAAAAAACAAAACAGAAAATATAAAAAAAAAAGGAAGTCGTAACAGAAAGAGACTCGAAAATCCAGCACTAAATCGACAGCTGAATATATTGAGCGGCGGAAAAGTTTTGCACAATTTCCAGCCGTGGGATGTTAATAATCAAATGAACTGGAAAGTTATTTAGAAAATGGTAAATAAATAAATAAATACAGTTTACAAAACGATCATTCGATGCACAGGAAAGCTGCAGCTAAGTGAACGTACAGAGCAGACTTTTTTTAAGCAACATAAAATCTACATTCACCGAACACTGCTTGATCGGTTGGCTTGGTTTGAAGCGAACAAGAGCATGTTCGAGTGTCACACCAAGCATTTAGTTGTATGCAGCAAGTTTGACCGGTCCTATTGAACATGCCTGCTCTTCGCTATCAAGGCGGAGGCTCGATCAAACCCCTTTAGCTCACAGCCTAAAGGAATCAGAGCACCCTTTTCCCTACCACTTAAACTAGTCTCGTTTATATTATTGGCTCCCTGCCAGTCTACTATATCTAACTATCGATTTTTTATGAATCCCCCGCTGACAGCAGCAGCATCAGCATCAGCAAAATGTTATTTATAAATACCAAAAAGCGCATGAATTTTAATTAAGCGAAAGCCTCGCCATTGCTTTGCAGAGGATCCCGGGTATTGGGCTGAGAAGAGTTTTTTGGCGCGTGTGTGTGTGTGTGTGTGTGTGTGTGTGTGGCCTGAGCCATTGTCCATATGGAATGTTGATTGATGACTCCCCGTGCAGGGAATCCAGGAACTGCCTTCCATCTATCGATTGTCGCTTGTCATAAAAAAAGTGTCTATAAAGGGAGAGTAGCAGGGGGGCAGCCGGAGTCTATGCCGGGCTGAAGCTTATGCAAATCAAGACATGCCGCACACATCACTTTGTTTTACCAGCCCAGCCCAGTCCGTGCAGCAGGAGCTTGTCAAAAGTCTCTAAAAAATATAGAAAAACGTGCACAAAAAAGTGCATATTGTTTGGGAATAGAGAGAGCACAGAAATAGAGAGACTCTGCCCAGAATTTCTACTGCTGAAGCAACATTTTCCTCTGCCGCTGCCGCTGCCGCTGCTGTTGCTCCTGGAACTAAACTTGATTTTTGCATACAATTTTTTTCGCAGCGATAGCGCGCGATGTGTGGCATTAGTCTCCAGTGAACTGGCACATGAAAGCACAGTTATGGACTGATTGTCGGGGCACTGCCACTGCCACTGTGCCACACTGGTAGCCAACGTACGTGTAAATTGCCCAACTGCTTCCCCTTTTGCCACTGTCTGTTGCAGCTGGCTCCGGCTCTGGCTCTGGCTCCGGCTCCTACTCCTGCTCCGGCAAGTGTTAGTATTTCAAACTTTTGTTCAATAAGATTTATATGACTGACAGGCAGGCCAGCATGGGGTGTGTGGCATGTGCCGCATGGGGGCAAAAACAAGTTTTGATTTTCGATTCCACTCGCAATTTTTTCTGTTTTTTTTTTTTTCGCACTGTTTTACAGCTTAACTACGCGACGTTTTGGCAACCCCCAAAAAAGTGCAGCAAAGGGACGATATTTTCGGGATATTCCTGGGCTGAATTGAGATTTTAATGGAATGAAAATGGTGATATTTAGGACAGCAACTACAGAGACGCACACGCAGATGCTTCAAATACGCTGTGTGTAGTGGGGGATATACACATAGACACACACGCTGCTTGACGTAATAACGCATAATTTTCATTGTTGGATTACAGCCACGTTGAGAGCCGTTTGAGATTGTTATTTTGCTTGGCGGCAACGAATTAAGAGTGTTACGCAGCCACGAGACAAGAGCCATGAGCCACGACTTCCAGTCACCATCCAACCCGCCCCAACCAGCACCCAACAGCCGATGTTCCAACAGACCACTCGAAGCGCAGTTCAAACCTGCAGGTGCAGCTGCAGGCAGAGCAGCAGTCAGCCTCTTCACTCAAGCTGCATACCAAACACATGCACACACACACACCGTTACAGGCATAACAATGCTCGAGGACAGGCAGCCGCGGCGCCGTAGCTTACGCCTTTGCAAATATATTGACGAGGCGGCGACGACAGCGACGGCGACAGCGACGGCGAAGGCCGATCTTCTGTTATTGAAACCACTCGAGCGCGCACAGTGGCTGGGTTAGAGCGAAAGAGAGAGAGAGGGAATGAGGGGCTTATATAGTTTAGAGGGAGGGGATTGAGTAGGGATAGCGTCCGCGCATAGGTCTACAATAATTGCCTGCACTTTAAGTGCGCCATTAGTACTAAATTACAGACAGCAGCCAGGAGCAGCCCAGTGCCACCCAAGCGGCAGCTAACGGCGCGGTCTAATTACGCGCTCACCTGCAGCAAGCCACCCCCAACCACCCGCTTTCTGGCAGGGAGCAGCAGCAGCAGCAGAGGGGCAGCACTAGAAGCTGCAGTAGCAAAAGTAAAGTGCGCTAATGGCAATTAGAAGTTTTAAACCCCCGCCCCAAAACGATTGCTGCAGCAGCAGCAGGCGAAAAATGAGTGTAACGGCTGCCCAGAGGAGTGGAAGGAGGGGGGAGGAAAAGCTCCGAAAACTGTGTGCCGGGGTGCCTGGCAAAACTGCTGCTGCATTATTGAACATTTGGCTAATTGCCGTATAATTATTGCAGTTAAAAAATGTAGCAAGCGATATCAGCAGCACAAAATCCTTGACCTGTGGGAGTGGCTGGGGCGTGGTCATTGTTACACTTGAATATTCCTGCAGCAGCCACAAAACAGGAGAAGCACAGACAGAGATGCATAGCCACATTATGCAGTTGCAGTTGCAGTTGCAGTTGCAGTTGCATTGGGGTTGCTTCGGGTTTCCCATCTAATGCAAATATTATGGCAAAATCTCATAATTAAGATAAGCAAGTCGGTTGAGCGGTTTTAATGAAAATCAAACAATTGCCAAATGCAACAATCACACACAGAGACAGAGGGAGAGAGAGAGAGAGCTGGAGGGGGAGAGGTAGAGGAGAGCCCCCTCCTGTGTACAGTCATCCACAGTCTAAATATTCAATTAATACTTAGGCCGTGCTTGCCAAACGTTTTGGGTTTGCTGCCACTGCTGCTGCATCATTTTGGTATTGCCATGGCTACCTGCACAATTATTTTGCCAGCATTTTGGCCATGCACTTGGCATTAGCTCTGTCAGTGGCACTTGCCCTGGCCCTGTCGTCCCATTACAATGTGCAAGCGAACAAGAGGGGTCTTTGAATGTGTTTGCCCGAAGCAGTCAGAAGGAGGAACAGCAGCAACAGCAACAGCAACAGCAACCGAAAACAGAGCCTACTCCTCTGCTGCCCTCTCCACGCTCCTGCTGAACTAATGAACCGAAACTCTAATCCATAAAATACATTAAAGGCACTCTACTCAAGCTCTAGACGTAATGTGGCTGCTGCAGATATGTCAGTGAAGGGGTTACCAGATATCAAAGGGAAATGCACAATGTACATAAGTACATAGAAACATGCATAAATACATTCATGAATACATACTCGCAGATTCGAAAGGGTTTTAAATGCAATAAACTACAATAAGTTTATAAAAACTATGCACGAATATTTACTCATTTATGGTCAACATTTTAGTTATGTTCAGAGTTGAAATAGTGCTCCGAAAATCAGGAATTGAAGACGCTCTGCCGAAGCGATCGAAGCAAGCCGAGTGACGATTGTCTCTGCGAATACATTCCCCTGTGCTTAGGATACTCCAAAGCAGTTCTTCTAAAACTCAGCAGCCCTCGCTTTATCCAACAAATTCTACGCGTCTCTAGGTTGACCAGAAAATTCATTCTAAGCTGAAATTTCATTGGAAAACACACAAATTTCTGAACCAAATTTCTCTTGAAAAATGTACGCAGCGTAAGTAACCCTCAGGCAAAGCACCTAAAGATACCCTCTAAAACGCTATCCCCACAGTCGCTGCGTCACACGTTCGCTGCCAGGTTGCACGTCCTACTTGCAGCAGATGCTACGCCAAAAGCCCTTGGTGCGGGCCCACAATTTTCGTTATCTGAGCGGCAAGAATGCAGGGAAACCACCGCCAGCTGCAGGGGGAGCTGCAGCAGTTGCTGTGGCGCCACCAACAGGCATTATCCTGAAGATAATCAAGGCACGGATCATGCCCGAACTTGGCTACGATGATCGCAACATGCGACTCGGCCGCAGACTCTCTCCCGCTCTCATGATCTACAAGATGCAGGTGACGTCGGTGCTGTCCATTCTGCTGCGCATGTCGGGCTTTGCCATGACGCTGGGTGTCTGGGCTGTGGGTCTGACGGGCCTCTGCTCGAAACGCCACCTGAGCGAGTGGGCGGAGGAGTTGAAGAAGTGCGAAATGAGTCGCAATCTTGTCAGTGGCGCCAAGTTCGTGTTGATCTTTCCCTTTGCTTATCACGTAGTCGCCGGCACTCGCCATTTGATTTGGCAGCTGGACATGTTCCTCACGAAGCCCGCGATCTATGCCACTGGCTATGCCGCTGTTGTGTTGACAGTTTTGCTGGCTGCGGGCATGACCGTGCTGAAGACTGGCGAAGAGATCAAAAAGGATGTTGTGGATCTGACGCAGGCGGAAAAAAAGAATAAGGAAGAGGCAAAGAAAAAGGAAAAGCAGAAGGCACAGGCCAAGAAGGCCAAGGAGGAGCCACCAAAGTAAATCCTTTTCCCGAGTTACACAAAAAATAAGCGGGAAAATCGGGAAAGCATTGCAATGCTTTGGCTTTTGAGTTCATTTTGGTGTTATTAAAATGTTGTAAAAGGCAACAAAAGTCATGCTAGATTTTTGCTTATATTTTAGTTAATTTTTATGTAATACCAAAGACAATTTGCAGTCCATTTTCCAGCCAAAAGTTTAGCAAATATCTTGCCAAACTTCTACTCACATTTCATTTCATTTCCACTCCATTTTGTCCGTCCTAGCGTTGAGTCCTGCCTTTTGCTGTATTAAGACATTATGCGTGGCAGCAAGTTGGCTTTGGCTTGGGCTTTAGCTTGGCTTTCTCGTAATTAAAGGCCATGCAAAAGTTGTGGCTAAAAATATGAACAAGAGTCTACATAGTATGACGCTTGCACCTTGCAGGACAAGGAGGAAGGACACGCCCATAGGCGTAGGCATTTTTCCACTCCACTTGACTAAAATTGTGCTTGGGTGCTTGCCGCTTGTAGCTTGTGGCTTTGGCTGCAACTTGGCCAACTTTTTGTGGCCAGCTGCACGCAATGCAACAGCCAACAGCCACAGGAGCCATAGTTTTGCCCCGAAATGAGTTCAAGGCTGTTTTGGGGTTTTCCCCCTTTAATTATGAACCACTCAACGCCAGTCAAGTGTGGCTGTTACCATTATTGTTGCCTCAATGTTGCCCCGTTTGCCCGTTTGCCCGTTTGCCCGCTTGCCGTCTGCCCCACTTGCACTCTTGACTCTTGCCCCCCAAGTTCAAATGGGCGAAAGTTTCGTTAATTTTTCTGTGTTTCTAGAGCGAAGGGATAGAAATGTTTTGGGGGTTTTTCGTTCGCGTGGAAAATCTATGCTAGACAGGCATCATTATGCTGCTAATGGTTTTTGTGCAGCTCAAACTTTTACAGGTAATTATCGACACTTTGGCTTGGGTCCTGCTTGGGTCCTGCGCCATCATCGCTTTGCCTTGCTTTGCAGTTGAAAAGTTAAGCACTGCATTGAGGCAGGGTTAACGATTTGTGGAAGATATACAACTCTTTTGTGTCTGTTCCTCTGCCTGGGTAATTAAGTGCGGCATCTGGCAACCAAATAGCTGTTGATAACACTGCGTATGCTTGATATTTTTTAAGGGCAAACACTGCACTCGAGCGTGAAAATAGCTATTGAAAGTTGTTGAAGAGCTTAGGGGCTGGACAAAAGGATAACAAATGGGTAGCTGGATCTTAAAAATACAGAAAAATGTGGACATACAATTTTAATTAAATTAAATATTCGGATTTTGGCCACAAACTTATGGAAATTTGATAGATTTCACTTAAATTTCAATATTTTCAATATTTCAAACGTCAAAATAAATATTTAAAATAATTGTTTTTATTTTTAAATTTATATAAAATATATTTCGAGAGTTGGGACTCAAATCTAGCGCCTTAATAGAGTTGCGATTACATTTCAAGCCACATTTAATTTTTATTCATTTAAAATAAATATATTACAATATATTAATATGAAAATAGTTAATAATATTTCGATTTTACACACTCAAAATCAATCTTTCGCATCTTTTTGTGTCATTTAATATGCAATGAAATTTCAATTTCTGCGCAACAAATTACCTTTCCAATCAATAGCTTTTTTCCGTAATTAACTCTGGCGCGCTCTCTCCATTTCTTTTCTATATTTTAATTAAATATTTGGAGCATATCTCTAATTACCTTTTGCTCTAAAGCCGCCCCTCAGGCAGCGCTCAGGCTCTCTCGCGCTCTCCTGTGACATTTCAATGCCGAAAAGGTATTTCTGCCCCACCCACACCTCAACTATGGCGAATCGCCACTAAATTTTTATGCATGTCGCTTAAGTGCTGAGGCAAATAGCCGACTGGCAGCGATTTTAATTGAAAAATATTTACCCCACACACTAAAAGTTTTGTTAGAGGGGCTGGTGGGTGGACGGGCAGCGTGTTTGACATTTTGACGCGGCCGCGACGACCCAAAGCACCCCCACTCCAGCGCATTCAATCTCCAATTTCCCCTGTTAGGAATTTTCTTTTGCTAGTAAAGCGGTGGGGGTGGAGGTTTAATTAGTGTGCCGATGGTCGGCAGGCGGCGACTACGTTTTGCTGCTGCTTCTGCTGCTGTGTAAACTTCAATTAATATGCGAATGAAATCCGCTTAAAACAAAAGGAACGAGGGGCAGCAGCGGCAGCAGCAGCAGCAGCAGTAGCTGCCAATCAAGGAGCAGGCCCGCTGCGTCCCCAACCCCCACCAGTTTGTCGAGTGATTTGCGACATTTTGTCATTTTTGCTGATGCAAACACGGCGCCCCGACCCCCACAGATACTCGAAGGCAGAGCTGAGTATGGAAAGAGATGGAGACAAAAGCAGCAGAAAGTGAAGAGATGGAGAAGAAATGGAGACAACTGGAGAGCTGTGGAGACATTCAAGTACACTAATTAAGATCAAACGTTGTTCGAGGGTCCAAATGAGATTTTATTGAACGATAAACGAACCACCCCGAAACCATTGTTGTGTGTGTATATTTTATATTAGAATCGCATAATGAAGTGTCAGCGAAAATGACACACCCCCCGCACTCTCCCTCAATCAAAGATTAACGTCAAAACTTGGAATGCGCGAGTGTTCAATCAAAACTCTGAAGTGCCCTCCAGCCACTGTCCTCTCCGCATTGTTTGTCGCTGTTTTTGCAATTCATTTGGCCACAGGCGGCCCATCAAGAGGTAAAAAGTGACTTTAAGTAGGAAGGACAGAGAGCAACGCTGCTGCTGCTGCCGCGAAGCTGAACGCTCGGCTCAGGTCGCGTCGGTAATTAATGGAAAGTAGTCAGTGGGGACGGACAGTGGTATGAACAGTGGTACGGACAATGGGGTCAGTGGGACAGACAACGGGGCTGAGTGTAACTAATTAAAGCCCCTTAATAAAGTTAATGGATTTCATTCGCTCACAGTCCTCTGTCCTTGGTCGAGTGTCCAATGAGCTGTGATGAGATCTTTACCCACTCTATATTTTAACCTTATTCATCTTCATCCCTTTTTAATCTTTTTTTATCTCACCTTTTTTTCGTTCTTTAATTTTATTTATTCAGTTTTTGTATTTTTTTCATTTTGGTCTCTTTTTCATTTATTTCATTTAATATATATTTTTTCGGATTCTTTTGGCCATAATTTTGCAATTATCCTGAGTGAGTTTTATGGCAATTTAATGCCCTTTAAAGTGGGAATGCACAGATAAAACAAGACTTCTCTGTTGCTTGAATTGTAAAAAAACGCATCAGAGAGAACGCAGCATTATATACTCTCAGTGGTAATCGGTACTCCGTTCCTGCGATCGCTTAGGCAGCGCAGTCTCCGTTTTCTGTACTCCTTCGTTCACCCACGCAAGCACCCCTCGACCGAACGGCAGCAAGATTATCGCCTGCAGACAAAGCGAGAGAGCAATAGAAACAGTTTTCTACCTGCTTAAAGGGTTCATCCCCCGAGAGATCAATCGCATGCAGAAACCATTGTAAATTGCAACAACAAGTTTTTGTATTCTTGCTCTCTCCGTCTCTACTTTGATGCGCGAGCCTGCAAGGCAGCGGCATAGTCCCAACAAGTACCGTATTTGTCTGCTTTATTTCCACGCGCACAACAGTGACTAAAATAATTTCTCGCCCGTCTGTGAGCAGTGCAAACGATTTTTGCAGAGCATTCAAAGTTTCACATGATCATCAGGCCTGCTCCGAGCTTCCTCCAACTCCTCGCCCGAACTTATTTACAAATATGTATGTACATAAACATAAATAAATAAACTGTGATTTTTCGTTTTTCTTTTTTGTGTATTTGTGTGTGTGTGTACTTACTCGCAATATTCATTCTTAATTACAGGCCCCGGACCGACTGACAAATGTAATTTGAAAGGTGAGTGGCGATAACTAGACAAAAAAAAAAAGTTTCATGTTTCGTTGCGTAATTTGATGCTTGGAATTGTTAATTAAAATCTTCTGTGTTGTGTTTATTAAGGATTTGTGTTTGTCTAAGTGTGTGTGGCCATTAGATAGATTTTTCA